AAAAAAAAAAAAAAAAAAAAAAAAAAAAAAAAAAAAAAAAAAAAAAAAAAAAAAAAAAAAAAAAAAAAATTAAAAAATTTAATCTTATACAGTATATAATAATAAATTTATATGTTATATGTTTTTTCAATATACTGTACAAATATTTAATAAAGCATATACTGACAGAGGGTTAAAAAAAAAAAAAAGGATATATTATATATTTTTCTATATATTATACAGTATATGTCAAATCATTTATTAAAAAAATATACTGTATTTAAGATATTTGTATTTAAGTTATATCAAATTATATTTTATGATGGCTAAAGCAACTCATTTTAATTTAGGAAGTGGTTTGCCAAATAGCCCGCAGGTCATTACTACATAAAAATACGAAATTGTTCCGATCACATTACGCTTTTCTGTCGTGGAACCAAAATCATTTGACTCATAAAATGAGTACGTAGTAATCATTAGCATTTCTAACTTGCATTTTTTTTTCGATCGTTAAATAATATCGCGAAGATTTGTTGACATAGTTGCTTAATTTTGTTGAAGGTCTAAACGCTGAGGTAAGTGAGCTACAAATTTTCACAACGACCGTCGACTTATCTCTCTTTCTCCCGAATGACATTAGAATTCAGTACCTTGTTAAATTGTCATAAGGACAAAGGTAAGAAAACTTTTCGTTTTCTGATTGCCACGACGTCAATCTTGAAATTATTTTGACTTTAATTAATGTTGTTTGTCATATGGAAAATGATCTATTCCTTGAAACGAATTTCTCAATTTTTCTTTTTGTTCGTTTACATTAGCTTCCCATTTACTTGGTGAGAAGAATAACTCCGGAACTTCAGGTATACACTCTACGAACATCCGGCTCTTACCAATGCAATAAATATCATACATCATACTGAGGTTTACATTCCTATGGCAACAATTGTTCAGCAGATTCTTTGGCATTATTTAGAATCATTGTCAGTTTGAGCTTGATTTTGGGGGGGGGGTGAGTACTTATTTTTTATTTTTTATCTTCTATCTTTTTATCTTTGATAATTTCGATCTTTTTCACAAAAGATCTGATATAGTCGTTGATTTATCGCGTTGGACGAAATGGACAGGAGACCTTCGCGGCGTAACAGTAATCAATCAACCGTAACGACGTCATCATCAAGAGGAACGGAGTAAGTAGATTGCGTCGAAAAAATCATGTATATAATAATAGCAGTGTCTAAAATTCTTTTTTCTATGAATGTTCAGCCCTCAGCAGCGCCGTATTACCAGAGCTTTGGCTCATACGAATCAAGAAGCTAATAGTATAGTCGATGAAAATCTTCCACAACCACTAAGATATTTTTATCGAGATAGACAGCAAGATATGACCGATCAATCAGAACCAATGGATATTGACGAACCAGTTGTGCCAGAAACATCAGAACCCGTCGTTGTAGATAATGGTAATTGTAAATGCTGCAAGTCGTTTATCGCATTTCATCTTCGTAGATTAAAATGATACTACTCCCGCGTAACTCAGTTGTAATAGAACAAAATATGATGAGTTTAGATCAACCCACAGATGTTGAGGCTAATAATGATGGAAACAACGCCGAACAGGATAATGTTCCAGAGGAGGTATTGGAGCACGAGACTGATAGCGATGAAGAAAACGAGGATGGAGTTCCGCGAAACGATAGTTCAATGAATGAGGAAACAGAGGAGATAGTAAATCCAAGAGTTTTCCTGTCCCAGGACATTAGGGAAACTCTCCGGGCCGTAATCCAAACAAACGCAAATAGTGAACAATTGGGAAAACTTGCCAATTTCTTCTTGATGCTTGAACGAACCGCACTTACCGATTGGAATCTTGATTTGCTCATCAGCAAGTTGGCACAAATAGTAAAGAATGTAAACTCCGATGGCGGAATGCCGTTCGATCTAATGTTTGGTCAAAGTGATATTGACCCGCTCGTACTGCAAAGTATCCTGGAATCAAATATGTCTCAGAATGATCCTAACATAATCACGATGGCAACTAGATGCCTTGGAAATTTGGTTACTGCACTAGGAGACAGCGCAGGGCATATGGTCGGCAATCCTATCAAAGAGCGAGTGGTGCCTCTGTTCTGCGATATTTTGGTCAAAGGGCCTCAGACCAACGATTCAGAACACCTGAAAGATATAATAATGGTATATCAAGGATTGTTTATTTGCAACAAATTAAAAAATTTCTCAAATGGCATTTAGTTATTCATAATTTGTTTGATCATTTAAAATCAGGCTTTATATCAATTTACGAGGCATAACCGAGTTGACTGTACTGGCATCATCGTCGAGAAGCATGTTTTTCCTCACATATGGACATCAATATTTCCTTTTCTTACCGACAATGATCGAATACTTCCAATAAAGTTACTGTCCAGTTGCTGTCAAAGAGCTCCCCTAGAATCCTTCTCAACGTTATTGGACGAGGCCATAAACGTTCCCGATTTTCAGAGTTTGTTTGCCGATCATGAATTGCCAGATGTAATCCATTGGTGTTGCTTGAGTCTTTCTTTTTTAGTATCTCGTTTCAAGGGTCGGGTAGATTCTCTGACAGTATGCAGATGTTTTCAACTTTCTTACTCTCACATTTTCATAATACTGTATATTAACCCTCCTTTTTCGTTATAGATATTCTTAAGTGATGACGTAGTGATGCATATCATCAAAAATGTTAATGGTTTAAAGTTGGTACCAATTTATATGCAAACTCAATAGTAATTCAGCTTCAATGTTAACACAATGTTACCTTGTAGCGATCACAATCAGCTGCGACTCTGGAATATGTTTACCATTTTGGCATATAAATCTCGTTCTATTATAAGCAAGTTTTTCAAGTTGGGAATTGGAAAAGCTATTTATGAGGCTCTGACGCATAAACCCGCTTCGTTTATCGACGACAATGATTCGGTTAAAGTTATGATCAAGAAAGTGCAAGAGGACCTATCCGAAGTCGAAGTGATATCTTTGCAACCGCATAACCTTTACAGACAAATTTTTCTTTTCATTCTAGCACTTTTCCCGGCTCTCCCAAGATCAGGTATTATCGACTTAACTAGATTTCCATTCTTTATTCTTAAATTCGGAAAACTATTTCGTTTGATGCGTTTTTTTGAATAGGCTCACGACAGATTAATCACGTCGCCTCTGATACATTATCAACCTCAACAGGTTTGTTGTCACGAGAATTCTATTCACGTGAACTTGAATATATGCTAATTGGAATTGTTTTAAAGGAAGCACCGAAGCTTCAAACTCAAGGGATATGGTGGTTGATTCCGAGGAAAGCTCTGATTCATTACAATCAAACGAGAATGCTGAATCATTGCAGTTTAAAAAGTCTAGCAAGCAACTTGCATGTTTACTGGTGCCGACGTTGATAAAAGCTTACCGAGGGACCGAGAATTGGGAATCGAGGAAACTGATAGTAGCAATTATCTTGGCATTTGTACTATACTTGGATGACGATCTGATGTGTGAAATATTGCAGGTTTGTCCTAGGAACATTAAATTAAATCTTCATATTTTTTTTTGTGCGATAATATTAATTTTAATATTGTAACATTAGCAAGCTTCTATTGAAAAGTTTTTGAGGTGCGTTTTTACAGCTTCAAGCTATATTAACAAGATGAATAGTCATATATTAGATTTGCAAACGTATGCTCTTGAGATTGTAGCCCAGTGCTTGCAGAGCTGGGGAAAATGTTTTGATGATATATTCAATCGATCGGGAGTACTTGATCAAGCCATCAAGCTCAATGAAGAGCAATTGACAAAAAAGCCGACAGTCTAATGGATTGATCGAGGCTTTATTTGGAAACTGGATTCACTGTAAAGATCATACATACAGATCATTCGGAGATTTAAAAATAAATTAACACGGAATTTCTCGTATAAATAACAAATTGTAAAATGCAAATGTTGTCATAAATTTTGTCCACAAATTTTTCGTATAGTTTGTAACATATAGTAAGTGCAAACGTCTACGGTTAGGTTCAATAAGAAAATGGTTAACTTTTCGGACAAGAATTGTAAAGGCGACTGCGAGAACGCTTATCGGATCAAATAGACGAAATACAGTATTACACAAATTGAAACTTTGCGATTTTAAGCATAAAAGATTGTTCTGACTATACTTCATCGATCTTTATTCGAAAAAATTGCGTATTTTGAAATAGAAAATAATTTAGCGAACATTCTTAGACGTTTTCGCACTCTATAGTATCATACATCCTTATTTAACTTATTTCTGATCGATTCTTTTTCTCCCCCCCCCCCGATGGTAAACTTTTTAATTCTAACCTTATTGACATCTTAACTTTTTGTGATGTAGAAACGGTAAACTCGTTTTTCGGAAATGTAATATTTTGGAATAAAGGATTTTTTTTTTTTGTCTTTTAATTACAAGAAATACTAGTAAAAATAAATTAACCAAGATATATTACATTTTTCTAATCAGCAAATTAATAATAATAATAATAATAAATCGTCTTTTTTTTCTTTTCTTTTCTCTTTTTTTTTTTACATATTCTAATATTGAATGATACAATATCCAACCGGGTGTAGAAAAAAAGTCAGGTTCCCGCCTAACTGAACGCAAACTCGGAATAATCTAGATCATCGTCAAAGGGATCCTTTCCAAATTTAAATTTAGTGATTACAGGGATAATGGATTTGGCATGTTGCAATAACTTTGAGGGATTCTCGAAGACTCCACACAAATGAGTTGAGGGAGCATCTTCAAATCTCAATTGCCGGAAGGAATCGTTCTCCTTTGCGTATTGAATAAAAATTTGGAGGTACGAATCATCGATCATGTTGAAGTAATAATACAAATCTAACCCGCATAACGAGGCTTGGCATTCAGAGAGGAAAAGCTTCAAAGTTATTGGTAACATCTTAAATCCAATTCCAAAGTATTTCAAAGAACTGGGAATCGATTTTGCCAAATCATTTATGGACTTTTGACAAAAATTCGTATCTCCGAGAACCTTCTTCAAAGTTAGTGACCTGAGGTTCATGTTCGAGATTATCTTTCCAAAATGCGACAGCTGCGAGTAGGCAATGTTCAGGGATAGTGTGGTTATGTTCGAGCAATATCGAGCAATGAGGTCGAGATGATGTGGATTCACTCTTTGAAGAGAGAGTATCCTTAGGTTTTGACTCGACATCCTCAAGATCGGAATTAGGGTGCTGGTGATCATATTCGGTTCAATGTAATGTTGAAAATAGATGTGCCTAAGTTGTATTGAAGAATATTCGGCACCGGAATTTTCCTTAATTGGTGGTATTGATGGTGTAATGCATAAAGTCTTTAAATTGGTGCAATACTTTAGAAATGGTAGCAGTTGGTGAAAGTCTTTTGTACCAAGAATTTTCAGAAAAGTCAATGAACGCGATTGAGAGACAAGCGCCGAGTATATGGAAACTTCTGTCGATGAATCCCAAAATTTATAGAGCTCGAGGTATTCCAAATTTGATTGAGATTTAATCAGATTTTCCACAGCTTTTCCGAGTTTAGACTGAAGTACCGGTTGTTCGGTCCCAAATATAATGGATATATGCCGAAGACCGTGAACATTACAGGCCAAAATAGCGAAGAGATTGACTATTCTATCCACGATCAACTCTGCGTCGCTGTTCCTTGTGATATTATAACATAATTCCAACTTTTGAAGTTTGGATAATCGGTGGTGAATTCCAGAGTTTGCTACAGTATCCAGGTAATATGATTGACCATGTTCATAACGACTCATCTTCAAAGATGTCAATCCCTTAGAACGATTGAAAATCATATTTCCAACTATTTTTTTGCATATTTCAATGTATGATGCGTTGAATTCATTATATTTTGGCGAGTAATTCTTCCATATCACGTGGATCCAAGTTCTGATAGCTGCTTCGTACTTTATGATGTCTAAACTTTGTATGAATCTGGGATAATCAAATGTGGGCTTTCGAAGTTCGGGAATCAAAAACAGTTCGTTGTGAAATTGTATTATTTCGTTATCTGAAAAACAGGACACATAAGTTTCAATCACAAGGTCGGATTTGTTAGCACGTGCGGCGAACTCAAAGGGATGACGCCAAAGGAGAGGGATAGAAAGTCTGCACCACGTTCTATTGACCATAACACACGAATATAATGAGTTACTATCATCCTTAAGGTGCCCTAAAATTTCCGAGAGACAATCAATGGGAAGTGCATCAAGTCCCTTTGGCGCTGAAAGTATTGAAAACATCTGCACTTTAACGGTCTTGCGTAACACTAGAACGAGCGTGAAATTATTTTGTCTTGGTTGGAAAGAGACGAGTTGGAGGAATGAATGTTGAAATGATCGATATTTATGTACGTGCCCAATTTTGCATAGATAAGATCTAATTAAGTAAACGCAAATAAAAGATTCATTGTTCACAGTGGCACGCCGTAACAGTCGATATGTATGTAATCATTATAAATTTTTTACGTAATACACATTAATGTATTACATAATACGAGGATTCTAATCTACGCGTTCTCTTGATATGCACGTATTATTATCATAATTGTTGAAATTGATCCTTCTTGGAGAATATTGTGAAGGGTGAAAGAGGGAATTCACGAGAGTAGGGTTTGGCAAAATGAATTATTCATTTTAGTCAATTAATGAATATTAATAATTGTAAATATGAACATTGCAATGACCGCTGTATCACTCATCTGCATCCGACGCCACTCCCCGAGAGTGGTGAAAACTCGTCTGACGCCACTCACATAAGGGAATTATGGAATACAAAATCCCGCTGAAGTAATCATTGTTGTTTGCAATCTCTCTAACCTATGATAAGATGTCCTGTTTTTAAGCTTATTTGCATATCGTTCTTTGAAAAAAAGAATTATTTATACAGTGTATACTTTATATACAAAGGACCATTCCTAAATGCGCATTCTGTAAACATAATTCGCCCCAAACGCACCTTTAATAATGGTCTCAAATTAGGGATAGCGTTTTCTATATTCTACATTAAAAAGTTTAAATTTTATTTCTAAAGCAAATCCTGTCGATGCACTGATGTGACACGTGATCGCGACATGAAGATATTTCGGATTTACACAATGATAGCATACACAATAGTGTCTACCCAGGTATCTCGTTATGGAAGTAATTCATTTGTTTACGACGGGCATCTTTTGGTATGTCGCTGGTACACAAAGTTGAAATCTGTTCCCACTGGAGCAAAAAATATATATATAGTATATAACAATAACATACATTCAAGTTTATGTAAGCTGTGATTTGATAAAAAAAAATTTTTTTTTTTGATAGTTGCATAAAGAAAAAAATCATAAAAAGTCAGAATAAAATGAATGAATATTCGGAATATTTAATAATCATTAAATATTATGTACAATAATTTAATTAAACAATTATTGTCAGTAAATAATTCTTTACTTTATAATAGAAACTTTTATTTTAACATGACAATTAAACAATTTTTTATTATATTTGAAACATATTATTATTTATTTTATAGTATTTAGGTTTTTTAAATTTTATTATTTTATATATTAGAAATTGATTGGCAATTTAATATTATATTGCTTATAATTGTGAATATGCATGTGATAAAATTAAATTTTAAAAACTTCAAAAAATAAAATTATAATAAAATAATTATACTTTTAATAATAATTGATAAAATCAATTAATAATAGAATTATAATAGAATAACTATATATAGTAAGTTTAATATAATTGTGATTATAATATCTTTATACTTAATTATTATACAATACAATTTATAAAAAATTTTAATATAATAAATTTAATCAACTTTATTAATGAAAATAGAAAAAATTAAACTGATAAATATATTTTATATTAGATAATTTATTGGTTATATTCTACTTATCTATTTATATTTTAATGATAAAAATTTATTTAAAATTTTTATATTAATTGATTTTTTTATAAAAAATAAAAAACTTAAATCTATCAAATTTATTTAAAATTTACAATAATATAAAAATTTAAATAAAATAGAATAAAAATTATAAAAATCAAACTTATTTTATTAAATTTTATAAAAATACTCTTTAAATTATAATTTAATAAAAAAAGTTTTTTTTTAAAAAAAAAACTCTTTCCGCTGATCCCCTTTTTCCTAAAAATTTCCTTATTTGGTAATTTTTTTTGGAAAAGAGAAGCCAGCCTCAAAAACACTTTATCCTTTAAAGATTTAGGACTTAACAACAAACTACAACAGTCAA